GTTTCAGAGCCGGTACTTTTCACTTTTATTTGAGTAAATAATTTGAATCAGTACTTGAACTTGAGTATTTTTTAACAGTACTTTGTACTTGAGTATTTTTTAACAGTACTTTGTACTTGTACTTGTCTGTAGTTTTGCCACCTGTGATTAATAGTCACCAGATCCTGGTGCAGCTGATAACAGCACAGAGCAGAGTTAAGCTTTAATGTTACAGCCTTTACCTGGACGGCATTTAACTGGATCACTGGTTTGTTCCCAGTTTCTTTGTGATGTGAATCATTTATATGCAGATGACGTATTTTTGTGTGTTGGCAGCCGAAGCCGATGGAGGTTCAGGTCGTCTCACATCACATGCAGCGCTACGCCGTCTGGTTCGGAGGCTCTATGTTGGCGTCCACGGTAACCAAAACATTTGTGTTCTTCTACTTTCACACAAAGCATTTCCCTAAACAACATGTGGCTGGAGGAAATGAGCCTGCTCAGTAAACTCTTTCCTGACGAGTTTATGGTTTCAGGTCTTAGTGAATAAAATATGCATTCAGTTTATAACTCTTGGCCCGTCTGGAGAGACCAGGAACCTTTGTTGACACTGTGTGTTGTTGTGTTTGCAGCCGGAGTTTTTCCAGGTGTGTCACTCGAAGAAGGACTACGACGAGATCGGGCCGAGCATCTGTCGACACAACCCCGTGTTTGGCATCATGTCCTGATGACAGCGGCGAGCCCATCGGCCCGCTAACCTGTTAGCCTGCTAGCAACCAGCCACTCAGCCATTAGCCTGATAGTTTTTTGCCCTTCTCAGTTTTCACCTATGAGGCTGCTAACCTGTTAGCGGGCTAGCTCAGCATCATCAAGCACATGGAGAACATGAAGCACAAAGGCAGTTAGAGAACACGACAAAGTTTGCAGTGGTTTTGTTTTGATAAATTTACTCCACAGAGAAGAATTTTACCGAGAACAAGAGGAGCTGCAGGAGACCTGGTGTAGCTAGCCAACCTTCTTCCAACACGTAGCAGTGCTAATAGAGATCCTCCGAAGCTGAGGCTGTTGTCCCGACAGCAGATAGAGATAAATATGGCGCCTGCTCGCCTCTCATCCTCATTTCAGCCTCTTATCAAACACAAGCCGCTCTGTGCTGAAGCTGGCGACGGTGGATTTAACAGGACAAGCCTCTGGATGTTTTCTGTCACTCGGCATTTATCTCAGCATGTTTGTGGCCCTGCTATAACGATCAGACTCACACTGAATCTCACTGACTTTTTGTCTCTAAACTAGAAAAAGCTCTAAAATCCGCCTCTTCATCTTTCGGACAGTGTCATAGACAGACAGAAAATAATTTTCTTTGGTGGTGATGGTCTCATTTTCTCTCTGGCAGCACAATCAGGTTTAGTTTTGAGCCCTGCAGCCTGCAGAGGGCGCCAATGGTGTCAGGACAGCGACCCAGTGTGACGTCACAATCAAAGGGGACCTGTTCTGCTTTTTCTCATTTTCTGGTACAAGAGTAAAGTCATAGTCTCTGATGTTCAGATGAAACACCACCCATGTGTCAGATAACGAGCTCATCACCACACTGGCTTCCTGAAATGGCCCAATCAGAAGAAGCTGGGATTTTAGGGGTTGTTTTAGACAGAGCATGACAAGGCTTTAGACAAGGCTCATTTTGATCTCTGAATCGTGCAAAGCTGCTCTAGAAGAATCAAAGAAGAAAGATACAGACCTGAGAGCAGTCTTTAGAATCTGAATTCACAGGCTTATAGATGCAGTGTGACGTCTTCCTCCTCAGGACGTC